CGTTGGGTGGGACGGAGATTCGAACCCGCGACTATTCAGACTTCGAGTCGAGCGCCCTAACCACCTGGCCATGCCGGGCTTGGAAGACGAATAGCGCTTTAAACCGAACAATTAATCTGCTTTTGATGTTTATTGATACTAATATCTTTATTGATGTTTCTGGTCGATAACTGACCCTGGTGGTTTCGTAAATGTATTAATTTCAATTTACGTGTTAATCGCGTTGGAATTTACTCGTTCCACTTACTCAAATTTAACCAAAAAAGTAAAATAAAGATAAATATGAGTAGATAAAAAAAAGTGGATAAATGAGGTTATTCAACGAAAAATGAATCGGGAAAGAAGTTTTCACACTCCAAACTAGACCCAGTACCTCAGTCAGATTCTTTATGAGATTAACTTGGAGGAGCCGATCCACAAACGTTATGAGAGAGGTTCTGATGTTGGTGGTGTTAAGCGATGTTCAGTTACTTTAATCTCCTTTGTTCTTCAGGGGACGAAGATTATCCCTATGGTAGAGCTCTGGATTTCGGAGTTGGCGAGATAAGCTCAAATTCGTGTGATACCACAAAATATTTGTGTTTTTAGTTTGTTCGAAGACGCATCGTTGCCTAACGGGTCTTGTTGCCGAGGGAATGACTTAATGATTAAGGTTGTTTGTTGTTAAGCACAAAGCTACACAATGGGTTATTTGTGCTCTACCCACCACGATGATTAAGAATATGGTTGTACGTGTAAACAGCCATAGTGCTAACAATTTTGTGCACAAATTCCAACACTAACTGGATGGGACGCAAAAGTCATATAATCGAAAACGTTTTCTAGTCTTGTTTTGTCAAGGTTTAGGATTGGTCATGTGGTACTTTCCTAGATAACTGGATGGGACGCAAAAGTCATATAATCGAAAACGTTTTACAGTCTTGTTTTGTCAAGGTTTAGGTTGGTCATGTGGTACTTTCCTAGATAACTGGATGGGACGCAAAAGTCATATAATCGAAAACATTTTATAGTCTTGTTTTGTCAAGGTTTAGGTTGGTCATGTGGTACTTTCCTAGATTTCGAGAGTGGCGATCTGCGTTCGAATCCGTGCGGTACTACAACATGTTCCTCACACTTTAAGCAGCTATGACAGCG